CCAAGATCAGTGAGGTGTGCAAAAAGCTTAACCTTTTTTATAGTTTCGGGTTCTATTGATGGTAGAGGAGACTTAGTGATGGGTAAGTCTTTAAGAGATGATACAAAGTATTCCTCCCATGGTGCCAACAACAATATGCCTTCTCCTTCCTTTCCTTTTCGCCCAGTTCTACCGAGTCTGTGTATATATTGTTCTCTGTCTTTTGGCAATCCCACCTGTACAACAAGTACACAAATGTATACAATCTCTGTAAAACTCAAAATTAAGTTTCTAGTTGAGGTAAGAGTTTTATACTATATTGTCTGATTGACTTTACCTGTAAAACAAGGGTGACGTCAGGGTAATCGACTCCTCGAGCAGATACATCAGATGTTACGAGAATCAAACCCTTGGATTTGCGGAACTCGTTAGAAACTCTTGTCCTGTAACTCTGAGGTTTTCTAGAATGGATCTCCCTCACGTTTAAGTTCAGCTCACCGAGTAGATCAGCCACTAATTTAGTAACCATAGCAGTTGTGCAGAAGACAATGACCTTCAGGAACCACAGCGTTAGTTAGAAAGAGAAAAACATAAGTCACCGACTGGCACTGGGAAGATTTTTGTACCTTATAGTCTACGTTATTCGCAATGTGTTCTCGAAGAAGTGTGTATAGAAGAGAGAAATGTCTGTCCAGTGATGCAATCATGTGCATTTGTCTGACCTGTTGATGCGTTTCTCCAGTGCCTTCGTGAACACAGTTGATAAACTCGTGATCCCGCCTCAGAGCAATAAGGCATATTTGCCGAACCTTTACATTGAATAAACACAAATCAAGACTCATTAGCAAGAGGGACTAAGGCAACACACACCAAAACTAAATGAATTGCGTAAGAAAATGAGACATACCTCTTCAGGTACTGTAGCGGAAAATAGAAAAGTTTGTCTCTCCTTAGGAACCGCGGAAATTATCCTCTCAATGTCCTTGCGAAAACCCATGTCTAAAAGATGATCAGCTTCATCAAGCACAAGAACTTTCACACCTTTTAACCTTGTTGCAAATCCTGGAGTGTTCTCAATATGGTCTTTGAGCCTTCCAGGTGTAGCCACTAATATCTGAAATTTTCAAATAACACTTTTCATATTGGAGACCCAAAAATTGAAGGAGTGTTAAGGATTCATTCCGAAGTTGAGCGTCGGCTTCATAAATAAACCATGGCAAACTATATTCACCTGGCAAGGATTTGTTTGCATACGCTTTTGCTCTAAACCAAGCCTTGTTCCTCCAATCACAACTTGAACACCAATTGATGGATGATACTTCAGCAAGGTGTTTGCTTCTGTAGCAGCTTGACAGGCAAGTTCTCTAGTTGGGCATATCACAAGTGCAAGAAACGGGGGTCGCTTATTATCCGGACTTGTAGGAGGAGATTTGACAACTACTTCAATTGATGGAAGCTGATAGACAAACATCAACAATAAGCACAAATGCCAATCATAGGTCCAATCCAATATCAAGTGTCCAGCTTATTATACTCATGGTTAGTCTCACCAAAAACGCTACAGTTTTCCCAGTTCCTGTTTTGGCCTTAGCTAGGACATCTCTACCTGTAAAAAACAGAGAATGCCGACGAAACCAAGGAATTAAAGAAAAATATAGAAGGCTATAAAATGGAAGTTCTAGCTCATGACAAATTCACAAAGTTTCTAAGTCTTTCTTTCTACTACTGGATTGCCAGGGTGAAACAGGAGATGTTCATATAAAGCTTGGTAGAATCACAAATTCTAAATCATGGTTTTAATTTTCTTTCTTCACCGTCAATCCGATAAGCAACATAAGAAAAACATACACCTTTGAGAATTACAGGGAGAGTAGCTTCCTGTACAACAGTCATTGTCTCATATCCAGCCTCCTTAATTGCCTTTAGCGATAAGGGAGATAACGGATACTGATCGAATCTGTTGAAAACATATACCAGATAGATTAACTCTCAATCAATTAGCACCAAGTGATCAGAGTAAGTCACTCACAAAAAAAGATATATTCAGCAGCCAACCAAATTACAATGAAGCAAAACTCAGAGGTTGATGTGCAACAGTACACAATGTTACCTTGTCTTAGTCAGATAAGAATCTGAAGTCTTAACACCATCTGCATTCCTTGCCTTATCCGCTTCTACAACCTTCTCCTTATCAAACCCAAAAGCAGAAGCAGCTTTCTTCTTAAGAAATTCATAATCTTCGTCCTCTTCCTCATCTTCTTCACTAAGCAAATTTCCAATGCTTCCCATTACTAAACTCTTCACATCCTCATCACTACTTTCGTCCTCAAGAAAATCTTCACGCTTCCTTAAACCATTGTAGTCTTTTCTATCTCTATCTCTATCTTTCCTAAATCCTGAATCTAAACTTGTCTCCTTCCTCCCACGAAAAGACCCCTGACTACTTTTGCCTTGAAACCGACCATTTTCTCTATCACCATACCGCTTATCCCTAAAGGAATCAACTTTGTTGCGAATTCCTCTCCTGTCTTGCTTTCTTCCCCTGCTACGATCCTCCATGTCCGGACCCGGATCGTCATCGTCACTCGTGAGACGGAAACGCAACGATCCGGTCCTGAAATCGCTCACCAAATTACTGAGCTCTTCCTCGTCTTCGATCAAACTCCTTGACCCGCGGATTTCTCCTCCGTCGCGACTCCGCCGCTCAAATTCGGGTGGGTCTCTGTTCGGACGAGTAGAGAAGTTGATGCGAGATCCGATCGCAAAGTAATGCAACCTAAAAGACAATACCCGGAAGAGAAAAGGGACGGAGCTAGAGGAATGATGATCAGCTCGTGCACCGGAATTCAAGGGAGCGAGATGAGTACCCGGAAGAGAATGAGTGAAGAATCGTATTTGGCGAGGAAACTTCAAAGGCATAGCTTTAACTGCGATAAACGGAGTTTCGTGTCTCCGATGGCCGGAAAGTTGGAGGCAAATGCAAGGGTTCAGTGGAGTGAAGTTTTTTTTGGGTTTCAGTTAAGTGACGACCGTCTCGTTGTGCTCTGAAATGTGAAAACGGCACGTCGTTTTTCCGTAAACGCTTTAAATTATAAATATGGTAGTAAGTGGAAATAGTTTCTTTCAAACTCTTGTGTTACGATTTATCATTATTACTTGACTGTTTTACCATGTTTATTCATAATTCTGTGTGTTTAGCTGAGTTTTACGCTAAACCCACCTACCATTTTTATTCATTCGACTGCAACTCATGTAATCATTCATAACTTCAATAGGGATCGTATTTGTTACTCAATCTTGATTCTCTCCAAATATTTGACGGATTATGTGAAAAATCTTTACGGCATAAAATACATTTTCTAACAGAAATTTAGAGAGGCAATAATATTGTTGCTATGATAGAATGGTTCAGAGCCGGATATGAGGGAACTGTTTTGAAACATTTGAATGATCCCTAATTTATGAGGAGCCCCACTTAAAAAAA